GCTAGCGTAGCTTAAACAAAGCATAACACTGAAGATGTTAAGATGGACCCTGAAAAGTCCCGCGGGCACAAAGGCTTGGTCCTGACTTTTCTGTCAGCTTTAGCAATATTTACACATGCAAGTATCCGCACCCCCGCGAGAATGCCCCACAGTTTCCTCCCTAGGAAACAAGGAGCTGGTATCAGGCACGCCTTTGCAGCCCACGACACCTTGCTTAGCCGCACCCCCAAGGGAATTCAGCAGTGATAAACATTAAGCCATAAGTGAAAACTTGACTTAGTTAAAGCTAAGAGAGCCGGTCAAACTCGTGCCAGCCACCGCGGTTATACGAGAGGCTCAAGTTGACAGCCTTCGGCGTAAAGCGTGGTTAGGGGCTCACAACAACTAAAGCCAAACCCTCTCATAGCTGTTATACGCACTCGAGAGCATGAAGCCCAACAACGAAAGTAGCTTTACTCCCCCTGACCCCACGAAAGCTGTGAAACAAACTGGGATTAGATACCCCACTATGCACAGCCCTAAACTTCGATAATATCTTACAACTATTATCCGCCCGGGAACTACGAGCATTAGCTTAAAACCCAAAGGACTTGGCGGTGCTTTAGATCCCTCTAGAGGAGCCTGTTCTAGAACCGATAACCCCCGTTAAACCTCACCTTCTCTTGTTCTCCCCGCCTATATACCGCCGTCGTCAGCATACCCTGTGAAGGAACTATAGTAAGCAAAATTGGTAAAGCCCAAAACGCCAGGTCGAGGTGTAGCATATGAGAAGGGAAGAAATGGGCTACATTTCCTCATGGAGGAAATACGAATTGTGCCATGCAACAGCACATGAAGGAGGATTTAGTAGTAAGCAGGAAGCAGAGTGTCCTGCTGAACCCGGCCCTGAAGCGCGCACACACCGCCCGTCACTCTCCCCAAGCCAACACCCTCAATTTTATAAAACCTTAGCCAGGCAAAGGGGAGGCAAGTCGTAACATGGTAAGTGTACCGGAAGGTGCACTTGGAAAAATCAGATCGTAGCTAAGATAGAAAAGCATCTCCCTTACACTGAGAAGTCACCCGTGCAAGTCGGGTCGCTCTGAAGCCCAACAGCTAGCCTCTCAACCTAAACTCAAAAATTTTATATACATAAACCCCTATAGACTAACCCAACAAATCAAATCATTTTTCCACCTAAGTATGTGCGACAGAAAAGGAAAACACGAGCGCGATAGAAAAAGTACCGCAAGGGAAAGCTGAAAGAGAAGTGAAAGAATTCAGTAAAGCACAAAAAAGCAGAGCCTAATACTCGTACCTTTTGCATCATGAATTAGCAAGTCCCCCCAAGCAAAAAGGTTTTTAGTTTGACACCCCGAAACTTGACGAGCTACTCCAAGGCAGCCTAATAATAGGGCAAACCCGTCTCTGTGGCAAAAGAGTGGGAAGAACTTTGAGTAGAGGTGACAGACCTACCGAGTCGAGTTATAGCTGGTTGCCTGGAAAATAAATAGAAGTTTAGCCTTTTACCTTCTCCTATCAACCCTGGCCTGCCCTAAGCCCAGAAAGCGAGAATGCTAAAAGAGTTATTCGAAGGGGGTACAGCCCCTTTGAAAAAAGATACAACTTTAACAGGTGGATTCCAAACAAATTTTTAAAGGTAAATATTTTGGTGGGCCTAAAAGCAGCCATCCTAAAAGAAAGCGTTAAAGCTCAAATATACAAACTACCCTTTATCCCGTTAATACTTTGCATTCCCCTTACCTTACCAAGCCATCCTATCCCCAATAGGAAAGATCATGCTAATATGAGTAATAAGAGAATATGATTCTCTCCAAGCACATGTGTAAATCGGAACGGACCCACCCCCGAGAATTAACGGACCTAACCCAAGAAGGAACTAGAGTAAAAACTGACAACAAGAAAAACCTCTACAACTTTAACCGTTAACCCTACACTGGTGTGCCACCCAGGAAAGACTAAAAAGAGAAGAAGGAACTCGGCAAATTATGCTCAAGCCTCGCCTGTTTACCAAAAACATCGCCTCTCGACAACTACATATGAGAGGTCCCGCCTGCCCTGTGACTAATGTTTAACGGCCGCGGTATCTTGACCGTGCAAAGGTAGCGCAATCACTTGTCTTTTAAATGAAGACCTGTATGAATGGCTAAACGAGGGCTTAACTGTCTCCTTCTCTAGGTCAATGAAATTGATCTCCCCGTGCAGAAGCGGGGATACCAACATAAGACGAGAAGACCCTATGGAGCTTTAGACACAATGGCAGATCATGTTAAGAACCCTATACCAAAAGGTAAAACCCATTGAAACCTGCCCTGATGTCTTTGGTTGGGGCGACCGCGGGGCACCACAAAACCCCCGAGTGGAGCAAGAGTACTACACTCTCAAACCCAAGAGCCACAGCTCTAAGCAACAGAATTTCTGACCTTACAGATCCGGCACAGCCGATTAACGGACAGAGTTACCCTAGGGATAACAGCGCAATCCCCTTTTAGAGCCCATATCGACAAGGGGGTTTACGACCTCGATGTTGGATCAGGACATCCTAATGGTGCAGCCGCTATTAAGGGTTCGTTTGTTCAACGATTAAAGTCCTACGTGATCTGAGTTCAGACCGGAGTAATCCAGGTCAGTTTCTATCTATGAAGCGTTCTTTTCTAGTACGAAAGGACCGAGAAGAAGAGGCCCCTGCCCCAAGCACGCCTCCCCCTAACCTGATGACACCAACTAAATCAGATAAAAGGGTACCCTCCCCCGCTAAAGATAATAGCCTGTCAGGGTGGCAGAGCCCGGTTAATGCAGAAGACCTAAGCCCTTTAAACAGAGGTTCAAGTCCTCTCCCTGACTATGATTTCAACACTCCTAAATGTCCTCGTCGGCCCCCTGGTCCTTGTACTCTTTGTTGTTTTAGCAGTCGCGCTTCTTACTCTCGTTGAACGTAAAGTTCTGGGATACATGCAACTACGAAAGGGTCCCAATGTGGTTGGCCCTTATGGCCTCCTCCAACCCTTTGCCGACGCCCTTAAACTTCTAACAAAAGAGCCTGTTCGACCCTCCACCGCCTCCCCCCTCCTCTTTCTCGTTGCCCCCGTCATGGCTCTTATTCTTGCACTTACCCTTTGGACCCCTATGCCCCTTCCCTTCCCTGTCGCCGACCTTAATTTGGGGATCCTTTTTATTCTAGCCCTCTCGAGCCTAGCCGTCTACTCCATCCTCGGCTCAGGGTGAGCATCCAATTCCAAATATGCACTTATTGGGGCCCTCCGGGCCGTAGCTCAGACTATTTCCTACGAAGTTAGCCTAGGCCTTATCTTGCTCAACGCCATTATTTTTACAGGCGGCTTCACACTCCAAACCTTTAGCGTCGCGCAAGAAAGTACTTGACTAATTTTACCAGCCTGACCCTTAGCTGCTATATGATACGTCTCCACCCTAGCTGAAACAAACCGCGCCCCCTTTGACCTCACTGAGGGGGAGTCAGAACTTGTCTCAGGCTTCAATGTCGAGTATGCAGGAGGACCTTTCGCCCTATTTTTCCTAGCCGAATACGCCAACATCCTTTTAATGAACACTCTCTCCGCTACCCTCTTTCTTGGCTCCTCTGTATCTCACGCGATCCCCGAATTAACCTCAATCACCTTAATAATTAAGGCGGTTCTTCTCTCTGTTTTATTCCTCTGAGTTCGTGCCTCCTACCCTCGCTTCCGGTACGACCAACTTATGCATCTAATCTGAAAAAATTTTCTTCCTTTAACACTAGCCCTTGTCATCTGACACCTCTCGCTCCCAATTGCCCTATCTGGCCTGCCCCCTCAGCTTTAAGCCATGGAGTTGTGCCTGAATTAAAGGACCACTTTGATAGAGTGAATCATGAGGGTTAAAATCCCTCCAACTCCTTAGAAAGAAGGGGTTTGAACCCTACCTGAAGAGATCAAAACTCTTAGTGCTTCCACTACACTACTTCCTAGTAAAGTCAGCTAAAAAAGCTTTTGGGCCCATACCCCAAACATGTTGGTTAAAATCCTTCCTTTGCTAATGAACCCTTACATTCTTGCCACCCTCCTATTCGGACTAGGTCTTGGAACTACTATCACCTTCGCCAGCTCTCACTGGCTCTTTGCATGAATGGGCTTAGAGATCAATACACTTGCAATTATCCCCCTAATAGCCCAGTCCCATCACCCCCGCGCAGTTGAAGCCACCACCAAGTACTTCCTAGCACAAGCCACTGCGGCTGCTATACTACTCTTTGCGAGCATCTCCAATGCCTGACTTTCCGGCCAATGAGATATTCACCAAATGTCCCACCCCTTGCCAACAACCCTCATCACCCTCGCCCTAGCACTTAAAATTGGCCTTGCCCCCCTCCATACCTGAATGCCTGAAGTCCTTCAAGGACTAGACTTGACCACGGGCCTTATCCTCTCCACCTGACAAAAGCTCGCACCCTTCTGCCTGCTTCTTCAAGTTCAACCTGCCAACGCAACTCTTCTCCTTGTGCTAGGAATTACCTCTACCTTAGTAGGAGGCTGAGGCGGCCTAAATCAAACTCAACTTCGAAAAATCCTGGCCTACTCCTCAATCGCACATCTAGGCTGAATAATCCTTGTACTCCAATTCTCCCCCTCCCTCACCTTCTTGACCCTTCTTGTCTACTTCATTATAACTTTTTCCTTATTCATCTCCTTTAAAATTAGTAATGCCACTAACATTAATACCCTCGCCACCTCTTGAGCTAAAGCCCCTGCCCTCACCTCAATTATCCCTCTTATCCTCCTATCTCTGGGGGGCCTTCCACCTTTAACAGGCTTTCTCCCTAAATGACTGATCCTACAAGAACTAACTAAACAAGACCTTGCCCCCCTTGCGACCGTTGCTGCCCTCTCGGCTCTCCTAAGCCTTTTCTTCTACCTCCGACTTTCCTATGCAATGACCCTGACCATAACACCTAATAACCTTACAGCTACACTCCCCTGACGCCTTCCCTCACTCCAAACGACACTTCCCCTGGCCATCGCCTCCTCCGCAACAATCTGTCTTCTCCCCCTTGCCCCTGCCACCGCTGCTCTCTTCACCTGGTAAGAGGCTTAGGATAGCACCAGTACCAAGGGCCTTCAAAGCCCTAAGCGGGAGTGAGAATCTCCCAGCCTCTGCATAAGACTTACGGGACACTAACCCACATCTTCTGCGTGCAAAGCAGACACTTTAATTAAGCTAAAGCCTTTCTAGACAGGCAGGCCTCGATCCTACAAACTCTTAGTTAACAGCTAAGCGCCCAAACCAGCGAGCATCTATCTACCTTTCCCCCGCCTAGCCGGGCCAAATAGGCGGGGGAAAGCCCCGGCAGACGATTAGTCTGCTTCTTAAGATTTGCAATCTTACGTGATGACACCCCAGAGCTGTGGTAAGAAGAGGGTTTGAACCTCTGTTCATGGGGCTACAATCCACCGCTTAGCACTCAGCCATCTTACCTGTGGCAATCACACGTTGATTCTTCTCAACTAATCACAAAGATATCGGCACCCTTTACCTAGTATTTGGTGCTTGAGCCGGTATAGTCGGAACAGCCCTCAGCTTACTTATTCGTGCTGAACTGAGCCAACCAGGCTCTCTTCTGGGCGACGACCAGATTTATAATGTAATCGTCACCGCTCATGCATTTGTAATAATCTTTTTTATGGTAATGCCTATTATGATTGGGGGCTTTGGCAACTGACTAATCCCCCTTATGATTGGGGCCCCTGATATGGCCTTCCCTCGAATAAACAACATAAGCTTCTGGCTCCTTCCCCCCTCTTTCCTCCTTCTATTGGCCTCCTCAGGCGTAGAAGCAGGAGCTGGAACAGGCTGAACAGTCTACCCCCCTCTTGCAGGTAACCTGGCTCATGCAGGGGCTTCCGTAGACTTAACAATTTTCTCCCTTCACCTAGCAGGGATTTCATCAATTCTTGGGGCTATTAACTTCATTACAACAATTATTAATATGAAACCCCCTGCTATTTCACAGTATCAAACCCCCTTATTCGTTTGAGCCGTTCTTATTACTGCCGTTCTTCTCCTTCTCTCCCTTCCTGTTCTTGCTGCCGGCATCACCATGCTGCTTACAGATCGAAATCTAAACACAACATTCTTTGACCCGGCAGGAGGAGGGGACCCCATCCTATACCAACACCTCTTCTGATTCTTTGGCCATCCCGAAGTATATATTCTAATCCTCCCCGGCTTTGGAATAATCTCCCATATTGTAGCTTACTACTCTGGCAAAAAAGAACCATTTGGCTACATAGGAATGGTCTGAGCAATAATGGCTATCGGCCTCCTTGGCTTCATTGTATGAGCCCACCACATGTTCACAGTCGGAATAGACGTAGACACCCGGGCCTACTTCACTTCCGCCACAATAATTATTGCCATCCCTACCGGGGTAAAAGTTTTCAGTTGACTCGCCACACTCCACGGCGGGGCTATCAAATGAGAAACTCCCCTTCTCTGAGCGCTGGGATTCATTTTCCTATTTACAGTCGGAGGACTAACCGGCATCGTTCTAGCCAACTCATCCCTAGATATTGTACTTCATGACACATACTACGTAGTTGCCCACTTCCACTATGTTCTGTCCATGGGTGCCGTGTTTGCAATCATTGCTGCCTTTGTTCACTGATTCCCACTCTTCTCAGGGTACACACTTCACAGCACATGAACCAAAATCCATTTCGGCGTTATGTTTATTGGCGTCAACCTTACCTTCTTCCCACAACATTTCCTTGGCCTAGCAGGTATGCCTCGTCGATACTCTGACTACCCTGATGCCTACACACTTTGAAACACAGTCTCTTCAATTGGCTCGCTGATTTCCCTAGTGGCCGTGATCATGTTCCTCTTTATTATCTGAGAAGCATTTGCTGCCAAACGAGAAGTACTATCAGTTGAGTTAACAGCCACTAACGTGGAATGACTACACGGCTGCCCTCCTCCCTACCACACATTTGAAGAACCTGCATTCGTACAAATTCAGCACACTCACTAAGCCTTTAGCCTCCGAGAAAGGGAGGAATTGAACCCCCGTAAATTGGTTTCAAGCCAACCACATGGCCGCTCTGTCACTTTCTTCATAAGACACTAGTAAAGTACATTACACTGCCTTGTCAAGGCAGAATCGTGGGTTGAACTCCCGCGTGTCTTGATCAATGGCACATCCCTCCCAACTAGGCTTTCAAGATGCAGCTTCCCCTGTAATAGAAGAACTTCTCCACTTCCACGACCACACCCTAATAATTGTCTTTTTAATTAGCACCCTGGTCCTTTACATTATTGTAGCTATAGTTACCACAAAGCTTACAAATAAATTTATTCTGGACTCCCAAGAAATTGAAATTATCTGAACCCTTCTCCCAGCACTAATTCTAATTCTGATTGCCCTCCCATCCCTACGCATCCTGTACCTAATAGATGAAATTAATGACCCCCACCTAACAATTAAAGCCATAGGACACCAATGGTACTGAAGCTATGAATATACTGACTACGAAGACCTGGGATTTGACTCGTATATAATCCCCACGCAAGACCTTACTCCCGGCCAATTCCGGCTTCTAGAAACAGACCACCGAATGGTAATCCCTGTAGAGTCCCCAGTTCGAGTCCTAGTCTCTGCCGACGACGTTCTCCACTCATGAGCCGTCCCAAGCTTAGGAATTAAAATAGACGCAGTCCCCGGCCGTCTAAACCAAACAGCCTTCATTACCTCTCGCCCAGGGGTTTTCTACGGCCAATGCTCAGAAATCTGTGGTGCAAATCACAGTTTTATGCCTATCGTTGTTGAAGCCGTTCCTCTTGAACATTTCGAAAATTGATCCTCCCTAATACTTGAAGACGCCTCGCTAAGAAGCTAAACAGGGAACAGCGTTAGCCTTTTAAGCTAAAGAATGGTGACCCCCAACCACCCTTAGCGAAATGCCACAACTTAACCCCTCCCCTTGATTTCTGATTCTTGTATTCTCGTGAATTGTCTTTCTAACTATTCTTCCACCCAAAGTGCTCGCCCACACATTCCCTAACGAGCCTGTGTCCCACTCCAAACAAAAACCCCAAACAGAGCCCTGAAACTGACCATGACATTAAGCTTCTTCGATCAATTTATAAGTCCCACCCTGCTAGGTATTCCACTGATTGCTCTGGCACTCACACTGCCCTGAGTCCTATTTCCCCAACCCTCAACACGGTGAATAAATAATCGCCTCTTAACCCTCCAAAACTGATTTATTTCCCGCTTTACCCAACAGATTTTTCAACCAATTAATCTCCCCGGCCACAAGTGAGCCCTTATTCTAACCTCTTTAATGCTATTCCTTATTTCCCTAAATATACTAGGACTCCTTCCATATACTTTTACACCTACCACCCAGCTATCCCTTAATATGGCCTTAGCCGTACCCCTCTGACTTGCCACCGTTATTATTGGTATGCGCACCCAGCCAACGCATGCCCTAGGACACCTCCTCCCAGAAGGCACCCCCACACTGCTGATTCCCGTACTAATTATCATTGAAACCATTAGCCTATTTATTCGACCTCTAGCCCTTGGAGTCCGGCTTACGGCCAATTTAACTGCAGGGCACCTACTAATTCAACTCATTGCTACTGCTGCCTTCGTCCTTCTCCCAATTATACCTACCACAGCCATTCTTACTTCCATCCTTCTTCTCCTACTTACTCTCCTGGAAGTTGCCGTAGCTATAATTCAGGCCTACGTATTTGTCCTTCTCTTAAGCCTCTACCTACAAGAAAACGTCTAATGGCCCATCAAGCACACGCATACCACATAGTTGACCCCAGCCCCTGACCCCTAACAGGCGCAGTAGCTGCCCTCTTAATGACCTCAGGTCTTGCAATCTGAATACACTTCAACTCCGTTACTCTAATGTCTTTAGGACTTGTTCTACTCCTCTTAACCATATACCAGTGGTGACGGGACATTGTCCGAGAAGGAACCTTCCAAGGCCATCATACTCCCCCCGTTCAAAAAGGCCTCCGATACGGTATAATTCTATTTATTACATCAGAAGTTTTCTTCTTCCTCGGATTCTTCTGAGCCTTCTACCACTCAAGCCTCGCCCCAACCCCCGAACTAGGAGGCTGCTGACCCCCAGCCGGCATTACTACACTTGATCCCTTTGAAGTCCCCCTTTTAAACACAGCAGTCCTTCTAGCCTCTGGCGTAACGGTAACCTGGGCACATCACAGCATTATGGAAGGTCACCGAAAACAAGCAATCCAGTCCCTCACTTTAACCATTCTGCTTGGCTTCTACTTTACAATTCTCCAAGCATTAGAATACTATGAAGCCCCATTTACGATTGCAGACGGGGTCTATGGCTCCACCTTCTTTGTTGCCACAGGCTTCCACGGTCTCCACGTAATTATCGGATCTACTTTCCTGGCCGTTTGCCTTCTTCGCCAAGTCCAATATCACTTCACATCAGAACACCACTTCGGCTTTGAGGCCGCTGCCTGATACTGACACTTCGTTGACGTAGTGTGATTATTCTTATACATCTCTATCTACTGATGAGGCTCATAATCTTTCTAGTATTAATGCTAGTACGAGTGACTTCCAATCACACAGTCTTGGTTAAAATCCAAGGAAAGATAATGAATCTGGTTATAATTATAGTTACCATCGCCTCAGCCCTCTCTGTTATTCTGGCACTAATTGCCTTCTGGCTCCCACTTATGAACCCGGACTACGAGAAACTTTCACCCTACGAATGCGGCTTTGACCCCCTTGGCTCAGCACGGCTCCCATTCTCTCTCCGCTTTTTCTTAGTCGCCATTCTCTTCCTTCTCTTTGACCTAGAAATTGCACTTCTTCTCCCCCTTCCATGAGGTGACCAGCTATCATCCCCCCTCCTGACCTTCACTTGGGCCTCTCTTGTCCTTACCCTTTTAACTCTCGGCCTAATTTATGAGTGACTTCAAGGAGGCCTCGAATGAGCAGAATAGGCATTTAGTTTAAGAAAAACATTTGATTTCGGCTCAAAAACTTATGGTTAAAGTCCATATCTGCCTAATGACTCCAGCACACTTCGCATTTTCCTCCACCTTTATGTTGGGCTTAGCAGGCCTCGCCTTCCACCGAACACACCTCCTTTCCGCCCTTCTCTGTCTTGAAGGCATAATGCTCTCTCTGTTTATTGCCCTAGCCCTCTGAACCCTCCAGCTCGACTCAACAAACTTTGCATCTTCCCCTATAATCCTCCTGGCCTTTTCGGCCTGTGAGGCGAGTGCAGGTCTTGCTCTTCTAGTAGCTACTGCACGTACACACGGCACTGACCGACTCCAAAGCCTTAACCTTCTACAATGCTAAAAATCCTTGCCCCAACAATTTTTTTATTCGTATCAACTTGGTTTACACCTAAAAAGCACCTCTGATCCTCCACCCTCCTTTACAGTCTCATTATTGCGGTCGCCAGTTTGCTGTGACTGGCCGCACCCTCTGAAACAGGCTGGTCCTTTCTTAGTCCATACATGGCTTCTGACCCCCTTTCCACTCCTCTCTTAGTCCTAACCTGCTGACTTCTTCCCCTCATAGTACTTGCAAGTCAGAACCATTTAAAAATGGAGCCCACTAATCGTCAACGAGCCTACATCTCCCTGCTAATCTCATTACAAATCTTCTTAATTATAGCATTTAGCGCAACAGAGGTAATTATATTTTACGTAATGTTTGAGGCCACCCTTATTCCCACCCTTATTATCATCACCCGGTGGGGTAATCAGATGGAGCGCTTAAATGCTGGGACTTACTTCTTATTTTATACACTTGCAGGCTCTCTGCCCCTCCTAGTGGCCCTACTGGTTTACCAAAGCTCGGCAGGCACTCTATCATTCCTCACACTACCCCACCTCCCCCACATTCAGCTCCACACATGGGCAGATAAACTCTGATGAGCAGCATGCTTACTAGCATTCCTTGTCAAAATACCTCTCTACGGAGCACACCTCTGACTCCCCAAAGCACACGTAGAGGCCCCAATTGCCGGCTCCATAGTACTAGCTGCGGTTTTATTAAAGCTGGGCGGATACGGCATGATACGAGTCCTTATTATCCTGGACCCCTTAACTAAAGAACTCAGCTACCCCTTTATTATCTTAGCTCTCTGGGGTGTCATTATGACGGGCTCTATTTGCCTTCGCCAAACAGATCTTAAGTCACTTATTGCCTACTCATCCGTCAGTCACATAGGCCTTGTAGCCGCAGGAATCCTTATTCAAACACCCTGAGGCTTCACAGGAGCCCTTATCTTGATAATTGCCCACGGCCTAACTTCCTCAGCACTCTTCTGCTTGGCTAACACTAATTACGAACGGACACACAGTCGCACAATACTCTTGGCGCGAGGCCTCCAAACAGTCCTTCCTCTAATAGCCACATGATGATTTATTGCAAGCCTGGCTAATTTAGCACTTCCTCCCCTCCCTAATCTTATAGGAGAACTAATGATTATTACATCGTTGTTTAACTGGTCGATGTGAACACTAATTCTTACAGGCCTCGGGACGCTTATCACTGCCAGCTACTCCCTCTACATGTTCCTTCTTACACAACGAGGCCCTCTCCCAAGCCACCTTATCTCTTTAGACCCCTCCCACTCCCGAGAACACCTCCTTCTCACCCTTCACCTTCTTCCCCTCCTTCTCCTGATCCTTAAGCCTGAGCTCGTGTGAGGTTGAACTGCCTGTAGATATAGTTTAGTTAAAATGCTAGATTGTGATTCTAGAGACAGGGGTTAAAACCCCCTTATCCACCGAGAGAGGCTCGCCAGCAACGATGACTGCTAATTTTCGCCACCTCGGTTGAACCCCGGGGCTCACTCGCACCCTCTAGCTTCTAAAGGATAATAGCTCATCCGTTGGTCTTAGGAACCAAAAACTCTTGGTGCAACTCCAAGTAGCAGCTATGCACGTTACCCCTGTCCTTTTATCCTCATGCCTTCTAATCGTCTTCCTTATCCTCCTATACCCAGTTTTGACGACCCTCTCACCCACTCCCCACACCCCTGACTGAGCCGTACTAAAAGTTAAAACAGCCGTCAAACTAGCATTTTTTACTAGCCTTTTGCCTCTTTTCCTCTTCCTTGACCAAGGCGCAGAAACAATTGTTACTGCCTGAACTTGGACCAATACCCTAACATTTGATATAAACATTAGCTTCAAGTTTGACCTTTACTCATGCATCTTTGTACCTATTGCCCTTTACGTAACCTGATCTATTCTAGAATTCGCATCCTGATACATACATGCAGACATTAATATGAACCGATTTTTCAAGTACCTTTTAATTTTCCTAATCGCCATGATTGTTCTTGTAACAGCCAACAATATATTTCAACTCTTCATTGGATGAGAAGGCGTAGGAATCATATCATTCCTTCTTATCGGCTGATGATACGGCCGAAGCGATGCCAACACAGCAGCCCTTCAGGCGGTCGTCTATAACCGCGTTGGTGATATTGGCCTAATTCTAACCATGGCCTGAATCGCAACAAACCTAAACTCTTGGGAAATACAACAAATCTTTACTGTATCTAAGGAATTTGACCTTACCTTACCACTCCTGGGGTTAATCTTAGCTGCCACTGGGAAATCTGCACAATTTGGTCTTCATCCATGGCTTCCTTCCGCCATGGAAGGTCCTACACCGGTCTCTGCCCTACTACACTCAAGCACCATAGTTGTCGCGGGCATCTTCCTCCTCATTCGACTTAGTCCTTTAATAGAAAATAACCAAACGGCACTAACCACCTGTCTATGTCTCGGAGCCCTAACAACCCTTTTTACCGCCACTTGCGCCCTCACCCAAAATGACATTAAAAAAATTGTAGCTTTCTCAACATCAAGCCAACTAGGCCTGATGATAGTAACCATCGGCCTCAACCAGCCCCAATTGGCCTTCCTCCATATTTGTACCCATGCCTTTTTTAAAGCAATGCTCTTCCTGTGTTCGGGATCTATTATCCACAGCCTTAACGACGAGCAAGACATCCGCAAAATGGGTGGTATACACCACCTAACCCCCTTTACATCCTCCTGCCTAACCATTGGAAGCCTTGCTTTAACAGGAACCCCCTTCCTAGCCGGCTTTTTCTCAAAAGACGCAATCATCGAAGCCCTTAACACATCTTACCTTAACGCCTGAGCCCTTCTCCTTACCCTCCTTGCAACCTCTTTTACAGCGGTATACAGCCTTCGAGTAGTTTACTTTGTCTCCATGGGACACCCTCGGTTTAACCCTCTCTCCCCCATTAATGAAAATAACCCCTCTGTAATTAACCCTATTAAACGCTTAGCGTGGGGGAGCATTATTGCGGGCCTTCTAATTACCTCTAACATCGTACCACAAAACACACCAGTTATGACTATGCACCCCCTTCTAAAGCTTGCGGCCCTTACAGTTACCATCTTAGGCCTCCTGACTGCCCTTGAACTTGCCTCACTGACCTCCCAACAATTTAAAGTTACACCCCACACCCCTACCCACCACTTCTCAAACATATTAGGATTTTTCCCACATATTATTCACCGCCTTCTTCCTAAACTTAATCTTCTCTTAGGACAAGCCATTGCTAGCCAAATAGTGGACCAAACCTGACTAGAAAAATCAGGACCCAAAGCAACTGCTTCTCTCAATGCACCCCTCATTACAACCACAAGCAATATCCAACGAGGCTTAGTAAAAACCTACCTCTCCCTATTCTTTTTCACAGCCCTTCTAGCTGTTGCCATCATTTCAGTTTAGACTGCTCGCAGCGCCCCCCGGCCTATTCCTCGTGTTAATTCTAGCACAACAAACAACGTCAACAAGAGCACTCACGCCCCTGTAATTAACAAACCTCCTCCTGACGAGTACATTATAGCCACCCCACTGATATCACCACGCAATATAGAAAATTCTCCAAACTCATCACACACCATTCAACTTTCCTGGTATCAACCCCCTATTACTATTCCCGCCGCCACACCGACTCCAACTAAATACCCTACCGCTAACCCTAAAACAGGCCAACTCCCCCACCCCTCCGGGTAAGGCTCAGCTGCCAATGCAGCCGAATATGCAAATACGACCAGTATTCCTCCAAGATAAATTAAAAACAAGATTAAAGATAAAAAAGAGCCTCCGTGCCCCACTAATACCCCACAACCCATCCCTGCAACCAACACCAGCCCCAGAGCCGCAAAGTAAGGCGAGGGATTAGAGGCAACAGCCGCTAAACCTACTACAAGACCAAACAACAAACAGTATATCATATAAACCATAGTTCCTGCCAGGACTCTCACCAGGACTAATGGCTTGAAAAACCATCGTTGTATTCAACTACAAGAACCTTAATGGCCAACCTACGGAAAACACACCCCCTCCTAAAAATTGCAAACAACGCACTGGTGGACCTCCCAGCACCAGTAAACATCTCCGCTTGATGAAACTTTGGCTCCCTACTAGGGCTATGTCTAATTGCCCAAATCTTAACAGGACTATTTTTGGCAATGCACTATACATCCGATATCTCTACTGCTTTCTCATCCGTTGCTCACATTTGTCGTGACGTCAACTACGGCTGACTCATCCGAAACATACATGCTAATGGAGCATCTTTCTTCTTTATCTGTATTTACCTACATATTGGCCGAGGCCTTTATTACGGCTCCTACCTATATAAAGAAACCTGAAATGTGGGAGTAGTTCTCCTCCTTCTTGTTATAATAACAGCCTTCGTTGGATACGTCCTACCCTGAGGACAAATGTCCTTTTGAGGTGCCACAGTAATTACCAACCTCCTGTCCGCCGTCCCTTACGTCGGAGATGCTCTCGTACAATGAATTTGAGGTGGATTTTCAGTTGACAACGCAACTTTAACCCGATTCTTTGCCTTCCACTTCCTCCTCCCCTTTGTAGTAGCTGCCGCTACTATAGTCCACCTGGTTTTCCTCCACGAAACTGGGTCCAACAACCCAACAGGCCTAAATTCAGACGCTGATAAAATCTCCTTCCACCCCTACTTCTCCTATAAAGACCTGTTGGGGTTCGCCCTTCTTCTGGCCACTCTAATTGCACTTGCATTATTCTCACCTAACCTTCTAGGTGACCCAGAAAACTTCACACCCGCCAACCCACTAGTGACGCCCCCTCATATTAAACCTGAATGATACTTCCTGTTTGCATACGCAATCCTACGATCTATTCCTAACAAACTAGGGGGCGTTCTTGCTCTTCTAGCATCCATCCTCGTCCTCATGGTAGTGCCAATTCTTCACACATCTAAACAGCGGAGCCTAACTTTCCGCCCCTTCACACAATTCCTGTTCTGACTCTTAGTTGCGGATGTAATGATCCTTACATGAATTGGAGGAATGCCGGTAGAACACCCCTTCGTCATTATTGGACAAGTAGCCTCCTTCCTTTACTTCTTCTTGTTCCTTGTTCTTTCGCCTGCCGCAGCTTGACTAGAAAACAAAGTCCTCGGATGATAATGCATTAGTAGCTCAGCGCTAGAGCGCCGGTCTTGTAAACCGGATGTCGAGGGTTAAAATCCCTCCTGTTGCTCAAAGAAAGGGGATTTTAACCCCGACCCCTAACTCCCAAAGCTAGGATTCTAAATTAAACTATTCTTTGCCGGACTTGGCCCCATAGTACATATATGTATTATCCCCATTAATATTTATTAAACATTTTAAGTAGTGTAACCCTACATAAATGAAGATTCCATAATAATGTTATTAACCATAGAACTAATACATATTATGTACACGTACATAAACCATTAGTCTCTACTGAACTAACATATATCTTAAAAAGACGAAATTGAATTGCCCTATCATAACTCTCATCAGTCTAGTTATACCAGGACTCAACACCTCTGCAAGTCAAATTCCTATGTAGTAAGAGACCACCATCAGTTGATTCCTTAATGTACACGGTTATTGAAGGTGTTGAGACAAAAATCGTGGGGGTCGCACTTATCACTTTTTTCCTGGCATCTGGTTCCTATTTCAGGGCCATATATAGGTATCATCCCCCATTCTTTCCTTGAAGCTTGCATAAGTTAATGGTGGTAATACATACTCCTCATTACCCCCCATGCCGAGCGTTCTTTCTAATGGGCCACTGGTTCTTTTTTCTCTTTTCCTTTCAATTGGCATTTCAGAGTGCATACAGACATGTTGAATTAAGGTTGAACATTTCCTTGCCCGCGAGGAAATGTAATGAATGATATTAAACTTTGATTTATGAATTGCATAAGTGATATCAAGAGCATAAAGATGTAAAATTTCCCCTAACTTTCTTATGAATCACCCCCTCGGTTTTTGCGGGTCAAACCCCCCTACCCCCCTAAACTCGATAGATCCTTATAGCTCCTGCAAACCCCCCGGAAACAGGAAAGTCTCTACTAGTATTTTCACCTTCTTCAAAATGTTTGTATCTTATAATATTACAATATTGCAAGC